TCCTACTGCCCTCTTACAGACATCTGTATTTTAGAACAAAGCTTTTACAGCCTTTCCTTCCTGAGTTTCTGATTCTTTGTGAAATATCTGCAAAAACCCATGAAATCTCACCTAACACTACAACTTCAGAAGAAAATTCCAAGAGGTAACATTCTCACCAGACAGCATTGATAGTGGAATTCTTCCCTTAGAAAAGTCATGTTTCAATGGTGGGTCTCGCCTGCAAGTTCAGAATTTCAGCACTTATCATTTCTCCAAATATTCACAGTACCCAACATCATTACATCCTTTGAAATTTTGCACAGAGAGGCTAGTGCAACCAAAATATGCAACTTGTTCCTATTTGCATTGTTCCTCATCCATCCCAGCTTGGCTACAGCCGTTCCCTGATTTGGTATTTTGAACACCATTCTCACACAAGACCTATAGTTTCCTCACAGGGGAGCAGAGGGCAGTGCTGATCTCTGTTCTCTGGTAGCAGCAACAGGGACCAAGGGAACTGTGTTGGGGACTGCTGAGTCCAAACCCTCGTATCCTGTAGTCAGAAACACCACACTCCATTGATAACAGCATCCACAAGCTCTGCCCTGAGCTCTGAGTAAGATCGAGGCATTGTCTACGGAATAGTTACGCTTTTGTTTTTTTTATGATTGATTATTAAAGATCCATGTAAGCCTTGCTCATGGTGCCATGGGGATGGCCTTTTTCAGTGTTGTGAAATGCCCTCAGTACTGTGAGCCCTTCGTTTCCTGGGACACCGAGTCCTGGATGAAGTGGTCTTTGCTCCAGCCAGGAGTGGCAGGGCTATACCTGCAGCCCTGGCAGAAGGTCCCACTCCTGCCACCTACTCCAGCTCCCCCTGGGGCTCCTCCATCTCCCTGGAGACGGGCATGGTGGGATGTGCATTGAGATCCCCAGGAGTTGTGTGGGGAGTGCTGAGGAGTTCCTCCTCAGTGGGACTTGCAGGGCTGCCCGATGGAGCAGGGCATGAGGTGGCAGTGGGCTGCAAGGAGATTGCCTGGTGGCTCTCTGCTTTGCACTCTGATGGCAGCGTGATAACACAAGGCAAAGAGCCATCTGCCTGCACTGAGGAGTGGAGGGCACTCATAAGCCTCCTGCAGAGCCAGCAGGTGAGTTGTTTCCTCCTGGTCCGCAGGAGGATGCAGCAGGGGCACAACGTGTGCTTGCAGGCAACCATGCAGGTGTCAGAGCTTCCAGTCACGGCAGATGAAAAATGATTCCTCATTGCTCATGCCCTTCCCACTGCAGTGGGCTGGGAGATGAACAGCTGCTTCCTTGCTGTGCCACTACAGCAGGGGCTTCACACTCCGAGGAGGCCACTGTCAGTGGCTGCCCTGCAGCAAGCAACAGTGCTCCAGACCCTCAGCCAGAAACCCTCCTGACCCTACAGCTGGCCCATCTCATGCTCCCCTCTGGCACAGGGTCAAGCATCAGTTGCAGCCCTAGGGGCCCTGCTGCCTGAGCCAGGCAGGACCAGGGAAATGCAGGCAATGCTGTAGGGATGGGCGCTGACACATCTCCCAGAGCCCCACAGCACAACCCAAGGAAGACCTGCTAGTTTTTCCAAGCCTCACAAATGTACTCAGCCTGAGACAAGATAAGCCTGGCTGGGCGAGGCTCTACTGTGCCCCAGTATACACAGTAGAGGGCCACCAGGTCACAGTCCATCGCCTGGTGCCATCACACAACATTACTTTGTGAATTCAAAACCCTTGCTTGGTGTTCAGCCCAAGGAAAGCTAGAGAGGGACTCTTCACCAAGAGTACAGCGATAGGACAGTTTAAATTAGACAGCAGATTTAGATTGGATGTTTGGAATAAATTCTTTCATACGGGGGTCATGAGGCACTGCAGGAGTTGTGGATGTCCCAAGGTCTGGCTGGATAGGGCACTGAGCAGCCCATGGTCTAGAGAAAGGCGTCCCTACCTATGGCAGGGTGCTTGAAACTAGACCATCTCTAACATCCTTTCCAATCCAAACCACTCTATGAACTCTAATTACTAGCTAAGTGTGTGGATAATTAGTTATACATAGCTAACAAAGAATGTATATCCAGTATGAATAAACACAGACACTCAGTCTCTTTCCTACAATAACATGGCCATAATTACTAGCCATAACTGCAATTTCTCTACAGCAATATAGCCATAATGTATTCATTCACTCTTCCCTCAAAATGACCATAATAAGTAACAGTAGCATGAAGCTTAATTTAGCAATTGCTGGGCAAAACAAACAAACAAACAAACAAAACCAAACTTACAGAATACTGTAAGGCAGACCAACGAACAATTCACCTTGCCTTAAAACCCACCAACATTTCTATTTCAAGATGGCCCCATTACTTGATTTTTTATATAAGCTTGATGGGGGATGGGATGGGAAAATCTGCAATGCAAGAGAGGCTTAATTAAACCGAGAGACCTATCCGCTTTGTCACCTGGGACTATTACCATAGTGAAATACTTTTTATAGGCATCAGCAACCTAACAAACACATGCCAATTATTTGAATTAAAGTGGAAATCCTTTTGCCTGAGTGCTTGTGACACCACCCATCCTTCGGGAGCTTCCTGCATGTCAAAGAAGTAAATAGAGAAGCAGAGAAAAAAAATATTCATGAAATCAGCAGGAAAAAGCTTCCTTGCACTTTCAAAGCAACAGCCGATGCTGACTACTAAACACAGTGCAAATCAGACCACTCCAGAATACTTTAAATGTTCAGCTCATACTTACAAATCTTTCCATCTTACAATGCGAGCAGCATTAAATGTGAACAGCATTTAGAAGAAATGAAACTGTCTTCAGAGTGATGTCTGCAAGTCATGAAGGAAAATGCCCTCCTGAGACAACGCTTAGCACGTCCTCTGAGGGGAGCATGCAACCAACAGAACAAGGAAGCAAAGGAACACAATTTTTATGTTAATTCTGGAAGAAACAAAATCCTGACAGCACAAAATATCTGTGCTGCTTGAATAAAACTCCTGAAAGAAACAAGTTTACCTTTCCCTTTGAAAGGTTGCTTTTAAGCCAGTATCTGTTTTTTCCCTCCCAACACAAAAAAACCCTACTCTTCAGCAATGCTTTCAAAACACTGCATGGCATACACTAAAATATGTATAGAACTACTAGGCTGGCTAGAAATCTTTGACGTGCTCCAGTGAAAAGACTCATTTGTAGGAAATAAGGATCCAAACAAAGATGTTTTAATCAAATACATGTGTTTTTTGTTTGAAGTATTTTAGTTGACATACTTTTTAAAAAGCTGGAAATGAAAAACCATTCAGGAAGTCAGTCATAGAATTCTCAGGTTGGATAAGACAGTAAAGATCATCAAGTCCAACCACAACCTAACCATGCTACCCTAACTCCCCACAACTAAATCATGTCCCTGAGCACCACATCCAAACAGTTTTTAAACACATCCAGGGATGGTGACTCCACCACCTCCCTGGGGAGCCTATTCCAGTGATTAACAGCCCTTTCTGTAAAGAAGTTTCTCCTGATATCCAACATAAACTTACCCTGGTGCAACTTGAGAACAGTGAGAAGAGACCAGGCCTACCCTTGCTGCCAGCACCTTTCAGGTATTTGAAGAGAGCAGTAAGGCCTCCCCTCAGCCTCCTCTTCCCAGACTGAACAGCCCCAGTTCCCTCAGTCTCTCCTCACAGGCCATATTCTCCAAGCCCTTCCCCAGCCTTGCTGCCCTTCTTTGGTCCTGCTCCAGCACCTCCATGTCCTTTCTGTGCTGAGGTGCCCAAAACTGAACACAGCACTCGAGGTGAGGCCTCACCAGTGCTGAGTGCAGGGCAGGATGACTGCCCTGGTCCTGCTCACCATTCCTGATCCAAGCCAGGATAAATGTAATGCTTAGATTCAACGATGACAACTGCAGATGATATGTCCAGAAGAACTAGGTCTTAATGAGCACGTTCCCTGGAGAAGAGAGAGCCTCTTTCCCCTGAAAAAGCTAAAGCAAGAAATAACATATGTCAATCTGAAACCCAGCTGATAGAACACAGCTCTTTGTCAGATACAGCAAAGCAAAAGGACCCAGGGCTACTTCCTCACAGAATTCTGCTCCCAAACTCCTTCCTTCAACTCTCATTTCCACTTCTGGTAATGGGAAGGAAAGGCATTTCCTCCTGCCTCCGAGTCCATACTCTACCCTATGTATCTGTAGCAACAGCAGGCACCCGCAGTTCTTCACCAAAGAGATTTAAACATAGGAATCAGGTAAGTAGAATATGATGAAGTACAAGCTGCACTGGACATGATTCAGAATCAGATGTTTGCTCACCTGAATGACCAACACATACACCAATGTCTTACTTCATAGAAATTCTCCTGAAGCAGTAGTTACCCCCAGCATCTGCCAACTCCTTAAATCACAGGAAAACAAAATGAGAGATGATCTTTTGACTAAAATGGCAACTCTGAACTCTAAGCTGCCATGTGCAGCTCCTAGCTTAAAAGTATAAACAGCTCCACTTAGTGGTAAAGATGAAATCAGCACTGATAGGAATTTAAAAGTTTCACCAGCCTTTTACTGCTAAATATGGACTGAAGTCTCACCTGTCTGCTCTTATGTGCCAAATATAGTTAGCATCTTTACTGTAAGAAAGTGTAAGTACCAAGCAAAAGATGGCCAAGAGAGCTGAAACTCACACAGCAGAGCCAAAGGCTGCTGAGCATCAAATGGATGCATTCACTTGGCAAGTGCTACCAGAATCCTACTGCACTTTTCCACATGGCTTCTGGTGCCACAGCATGAAGCAGAGTTTAAACAAAGGATCCACCTTTGTGTTGACTGTATTCCAATTAAGAAATATGCTCGTACTATATATAGGACTGGGCCATAAATGAATGCAATAAACAGAAAACCAGAAAGCTGAAAGTAACTGAAACACAGTTTTAAACTGATTGATAGAATAGAACAGCTCTTATAAACTGATGCTCTTACATGACAAAATACAACACTTAACAAAACAAAAGCCTTTATTCTGAGCAAATTAGTATGTCTTTACAAGAAAGTCATGATTTCAACTTACAAAGTCAGCATTAGCAATGCACCTTTCCTGAACAGGAAATCTTTGTTTTTTATCAAATGTCAAAATTGCTAGTATGTAAACAAACAACCAAAAAAACCCACCCACACCCCAAGGCTCTGTTTAGATGATGTATAACATGTCTTCAGAGACGACATCTGTATCAATTTATACTTCAGGTCCTTCTCCCCCAGGAACCAGCTGCAAAAGAAGAAGATAATTTTGTCTTAGCATCATGGATTTGAGTTATTCAAATTCATACATGACAGTTCTTCCTTTAAAACATTTTAGCAGATAGGGACTACACAGTTGACCACAAAAATAGTTTTTCTATTCATTGTTGTCTCAAAAAAGGAAGTCAGTCACTAAAAGAGGAGCACATGTCAAAGAGAAACTCCAAAATACAAAGAACGCTTCACAGTGTGCAGAAAGGATTCCTAAGTAACACACAGTATATTTTTTGTCCTTGTTATTCATTCCAAGATGATGATTCCATCTCGGAACTCTACAGTTTGTTTTCAAAAGGACAAAGAATCATGCCTCCTTTCAAGAGCATTTCTTCAATTGCAGATTCTTTTCCAGACCACTGCTATGCTGAAAAGTTCTTTTGCTCTTTCCGACTTTTAGTGATAAGCAAAGCTTCTACAGGTATATATGTAAGACTGAACCTTTCTACAGACAGTAGGAAACAAGCCAGCACAGTATTTTCCTGTGAATAAAGAGCTGAAGAGTAAATATAAAAGGAAATATTAAAGAAAAAAAAAAAGGTAAACAAAGGTAAAGGGAAAAAAAAGATCAAACATCATTTTACTTGTATTTTCTTAACAATGAGCAGCACACCTCCAAAATACAAAGACCAGGGGTGCTCTTGAGACAGAGTCAGTAATTTTATGGCATCGTTTTCTTGACGTAGTAAGATGTACCCTTAAAAGAGGCACAAGATCCCCAGTACAGAAGCACAGTTGGGTTTTGCTGAATACGTGTACTTTAAGGATCACTAGCACCTTCTTCAAGGGAAGAATGCCTCCGGACCAATTGGATGATAATTATTTTACCCATAAAAGCAAGAAAAGGTTTTGAAATTAAGTCAAAATAGCATTTACTCAGAACGGTGAGATAGCAATGTGGAGATTATTCCCCATTCACACAGAGCAGACAGACTCAAGTCAGCCCTCCTCCTCTCTTGCCACCAAAACACGAATGCCCTTATGCAGGAAGTCCAGATTTTGCAGCCATCTGTGCAGGTAAGCAAATGAAGCACTCCGAGTCTGCTGTTGTAATAAAGTATCTAAGAAGCTGCAGAATTCACTTAGTACTAAAACAATATTGCAGTTATGCATCACTGATCTACACACATCAGCGAGTAACAAACAAGAAGTGCTTCTGATTCGTTATAGTCCAACAAAGCTCCACCTTATTATTTTTGTCAGTGCTAGACATCACATGACAATGATTAATAATAATGATTAATAATAATAATTAATAATGATTAACAAGCTTGTAAGCATCCAAGCTGCTGCAAACACATTTAGACATAATGGATGTATCCCATCCCAGAGACTTACAGACACTCACGAGTTAAAAGCCACTGTGTCAACCAGACTCTTCCAAAGATTCCCTCACACACCTTATTAAAAACCAAAAATGCATTTACCCAAATAAAATTGTCGTCATGCTCACACTCCTCTTGTCATGCATTTTAAACTGTAAAATATATGAAATGTAGCAATAAGATCACATTTCCAGCATCACTCATAAAGACATATGCCTTGGAAACTAGGTAAGTAGCTCAAGTAGTTGAATTCAATCACAGATTTACAGGTAAAGAAAAGAAACACAAGCAGACTTTTTGCAGTGATGACTTACCATTGTTATGTTATTTCCATTTAGCAAAATCTGGTCTAGTTTTGTGATTCTTCTGCCTTCAGGCGTGATCTCACTGAAGCAATATTAGAAAAAAATATGAGCATATAATCATCAGCAATGGTTACAGTTTTGATTGCAGCACTGATGCAAATCCACATATTAAGATGACATTTACTGGGAATAACACTGCAGCATCAACTTGATACACTGACCCCCTAGGCAGGGAAAGTCACTTGGCAACTAAATAAATTTGTTGTACTTTTCTGTTCAGCACATAAAAACACAGATTTGCCCTCTAAAACTTGGCAATTTCTTCAATAACACTGATCCTCAAAATAGGTTTCAAAGAGCAACGCTGCATAAGGTAAAAAATATTTAGTCCTTTAGTCTGACAACTTATTAATTAACTAGCCATTGTGGCAATGTAAAAAACAACTGGAAAGTTCAACAGAGAACCCATGCAAAATTAAGGTTACAAACTAGGAATTTGGTTCTGAGCATTCACTGAAATAAATCATGCAAAACCACTCTATGACATGGTTGTCCTGAACAGATCATCCTGTATAGTTTAGGTCCAGGATAAAAACTGCTCAGTTTGTAAGTATTTGTGTTTGAACAGACCTTATACCACATTCTTTCTGAGGAAAGCCAAGTTTAAATAGCAACGACAGGCAAAAGCAATACTTACAATTCTGTAACATCTTCTAACACCATATCTGAAAGTTCAGTTTCAAGGAAAATAAGGTCCAGATTGCTTTTCATAGAATGACTTAAGTTGGAAGGGACCTTAAAGCCCACCCAGTCCCCAATAAAGACCAACCCCCTGCCATGGGTAGGCTGCCACCCACTACATCATCCTGCCACAGGGCCCATCCAGCCTGGCCTCGTACACAGGAACAGAAGCATCCACAGCTTCTCTGGGCAGCCTGTTGTCAGTGCTTAAGCACCCTCTCAGTGAAAAAAAAATCCTCCTAACATCTAATCTAACTCTCCTCTCTTTAATTTAAAACCATCTCCCTTTTCCCCATCACCACCAGACCATGTAAAAAGTCTCTCCTGCTTATAAGCTCTCTTCAAGTACTGGAAGGCCACAGTGAGGTCTCCCTGGAGCCTTCTCCAAGCTAAACAATCCCAGTTCCCTCACCCTTCCCTCATAGGAGAGGTGCTGCAGCCCCCTGATCACCTTCATGGCCTTCCTCTGCAGCTGCTCCAACAGCTCTGCATCCTCCCTGCGCTGGGGACCCCAGGCCTGGACGCAGTGCTGCAGATGGGGCCTCACAAGGGCAGAGTTGAGCAATTCATTTCTATTTTACACTGAACTATGATTTTAGCTGCCAAAAAACACAAACAAAAAAACACAAAACAAACCAAAACCTGACACCAAACAGCTTAATGTAAGTGAACAATAAACGAGCTGAGTCCCCCCATGAAGCTGATGCCCACCGATAACATCCACCAAAGGATACTGACAAAGTCATCAAATCCCAGCAGCGTCCCGACAATCTCCTTATCGCTTTTCATCACGATATGGATGCGAGAACCTATACATTTGTCCACAAGCTCTGCAGACATAAAAACCACAACAATAAAGTGCGTCAGTGTATTTACACGAACCCAATCGACCCAGAAGTGCCTTCCGAGGCGGCCGAGCCGCGGTACGACGCTCCAGCTCCCACCATCTCCGACCGACCGGGAGGAACGGCTCCCTCACGGCAACGCTACGCCCGCCGCACGTATTTCCCCAGTTACTCCCTGTCACGGCCTCCCCCACCGCGGTCACGGCCCTCCTCCCTCCCCGCCCGACCCCACGCGGGAGCCCGCCTGCAGCGCAGCGCACCGAGCGGCAGGAGCTGCGACGGGTTGGTGCTCGCGTTGGCCGCCATATTGCCGCCAGACCTGGGCAATCGCTGCCGCTTCCCGCCGAAGTAGAGGCTGTGGAGGGCGGGACGCAGCCCTGAGTAGCAGCCGGCAGAGCACTCGTTCCGCCGCCGCCGCTTCTCCCCTCTAATGGTGTTTTACCAGATTTTCACCTCCTATTTATTTCCAAGGAGGAGTGCAATAACACTGCTCAACAGAGCGACTTCCCAGCTACAAAGCTGTTTTTCAACATAGTCACCACCATTAGCTGTGCATTTTCCCCAGCCAAAGCAAGAGCCTGCATGCTGTGCTCATTAGAATCTGCCCCAATGAAAGTGGCACACAGTCACTGCTGCCAGTTTGAATGGACCGCCTGCTGCTCTGCTGTGCTCACACGGAACCATAGAATCACAGAACTGAGTCGGAAAGAGCCCTTATGGGTTATCTAGTCCAATTCCCTGCATTCAACAGGGGCACATACAGCTAGAGCAGGTTGCTCAGAGTCCCATCCAGTCCGATCTTGAATGCCTCCAGAGACAGGGCATCCACCACCTCTCTGGTCATAGAATAACAGAATCGTAGAATGGCCTGGATTGAAAAGGATCCACAGAGATCATCTGGTTCCAACCCCCTGCTGTGTGCAAGGTCGCCAACCAGCAGCCCAGGCTGCCCAGAGCCACATCCAGCCTGGCCTTGAATGCCTGCAGGGTTGGGGCATCCACAGCCTCCTTGGGCAACCTGTGCCAGTGCCTCACCAACCTCTGGGTGAAAAACTTCCTCCTCATATCCAACCTGAACCTCCCCTGTCTCAGTTTAAAACCATTCTCCCTTGTCCTATCACTGTCCACCCACACAAACAGCCGTTCTCCCTCCTGTTTATATGCTCTCTTCAAGTTCTGGAAGGCTGCAATATGTTTCCTTGAAGCTTTCTCTTCTCCAAGCTAAATAATGCCAGTTCACTCAACCTTTCCTCATAGGAGAAGTGCTCCAGCCCTCTGAACATCTACCTTCGCTGTAAACAAATTTTTCCTTATACCCATTTGAAGTCTCTCCTCTTTTAGCTTGAAACCATTTACCCTTGTCCCCTCACAACAGGCCCTGCTGAAAAGTTTGTCCCTTTCTTTCTTATATTCCCCCTTTATATTGACAGGCTGCTATCAGAAGCCCCAGAGCCTTCTCTTCTCCAGGCTGAACAGCCCCAGCTGCCAATGGGTGCCATTTTCTCCACACAGAGGAATTCAGTTCCACACCTTTGTTTCAGATACACTTCCATGTCAGATGCCACTTGGTCAGACTGCCCCTCCGCTACCAGCTGTCACACAGCAACAAAATATATTGGCAGGAATATTGGCAGGAAGGTTCAACCCCTACTGCCATACCACCAACATCCACCTCTGACATCATGGGCCAACATAATAAGACAGGAGGCACTACTTTTAGAGCAGCTCTGGTATATGGCTGAATTTTTATTGATATCTATTAGATATACATTAAGAAAGAAAACTCCAGTAGGAACTTCTTTTCTAAGAGCTTCTGTTTGGTTGCAGCTCTACCCTTCCTTCCTTTTTCATAAAAAACAACCATGTCAGCTGTGAAGAAGGATGCTGTCAATCAGTTTTCCTGGAACAGTGTCGCACTGTTCAGTCCCACATTTTTATTGCCTTAGTGAGAAAGAAAATTTCAAGCAGTGAAAAAAATCCAATCATCTATTCAGAGAAGCAATAAGCCACCATTATTCAGCAGTATCATGGAGAAGCCTCAGGAATGCAAACCCGTAGCTGTGAGAGCAGTGCTAGTCTGCCCTTTATTTAATGAACTGAGGATGAGTTCTAAGTACTCCCATTTGTCTTCTCTTCCTTTATCTCATTTCTGCGAGAGATAATGGATAAGGTTGGGTTCTTTTTTTCCCTTTTCTTTTTTTTTTTTTTTAAATTACATTAAATATCATGAAAGTAAGTTGCAGAATAAAACCAGTAAGAATTCATTCAGTTTCCAGTGCTGGATTGTTCCTTGTAGCTTATCTTTTGCTCCCTAAAGCATATATAATGGCACCTTTGTTGAAACGGAGGAACAATACGTAATTACGTGCTTTATTGTTATAATTTGAGCCTCTGTGTATTGTGTTAGCAATGAGATTTTCTCTGAGCGCTATTCTATTATAGTTCTTTTCAAAAAGACCATCTTCCTCTGATTTCCACAGAGGACCTTAGAGACGTGAGCACAATCTCTGCTAAGTGCTGATGGTTTAAACAAACCGAACCAAATCACCAAGGTTAATGAGGGAGCATGATCAGGGGGCAGGCAGGTGAGGATCGTTCATTTTTGCCTCTCTAAATTTGCACTCGCTCTCAGATAAGCCTTTGAACCATCTCTCTCAGGTTACCATAATACACATTTAACAGAACAGCACAAGCAGCAGCAGCACAAACTCGATTTTGCTGATTGACGTTCAGCAACCAGAGTGCACTGACATCACATCGGGCTCCAGCTCGGCCTGCCACGGGCCTGCTCGGCCTCCACCCGAGACGAGGCAGGGTGCAGATGCAGCTCTCTGCACTGTCACGGGGCTCTGAGTTAAAAGAGAGAACAGCTCTCTCTCTCTCCCTTCTCAGCCGGCAGCATCCCTGCTGAAATTTTAATAAAACACCCTTGAATTTTAATAAAGCACCCTTAAATTTTAATAAAACCAAGCACTTTTCCACGCGGGTCTCCTCGCAGCCGAGTACAGCCGGGAGCCGGGGGACACAACGCGGCTGGGGGCAGGGCGAGGGGAACGAGGGCGGCCCCGCCCCGCCTCCTCCCGCCGGGCGCTGCGGAAGCGCAGTCGGCTGAGCTCCGTCCCTCCGGTCTTCGGCACCGGGAGGCGGAGCGAGAGCCCGGCCCGGGCGGTATCCTCCCGAGCGGCCATCGCCGGGCTCCATGGAGAAGCGGGGCGCGCCGCCGGCCGCCCTTCCGCGGGGTCCAGTGCTGCACATCGTGGTGGTGGGCTTCCATCACAAGAAGGGTTGCCAGGTGAGGGGCGCGGTGCTGGGCCCCGGGAGCCCGCCCCGGTTCCGGGCTGGGCGAGCCGCCGCCGGTGCGGGCTGTGGGGTGCCGGGGCCGGGCGGCAGCGTGCCGTGCGGGGCTGCCTGGAGGAGACGGGGCCTCCCGACAGCCGTGCACCGCCGGCGTCCCGTAGGCCCTCCGTGTCCTGTGTTTCGTAGGTGTTTTGTGCCCTCGTTGCGTTTCCTCCTTTGCTCTCCAACTTAATCTTGGCGAGGCTGTTGCAGGAAGGATTTTTTTTTTTTGCATTTGATCCAATTCGAACTCTTTTTTTCAAGTCTTACATGAAGGGATGCATCTGACGTTTAAACTTCTGCAGTCGTTGCACGTTCTGTGACAGGGCAGAATCGAGGAACCTGAGGAGATTGCGTTCTCTGCTTCGGAAGGCAGCGCCGTGCTCAGGAAAGCAAATAGTTTTCAAATGATGAATAACTTCTCATCACATGATTGCTGGTTTGTTTTTAAATGTTGTGGAGCTCCAGGGTAACTCCGAATGCTTGGTCTTTTCATTCCTAAAGTGAAAGAAAACCCTAGGAATCAGATTTTGTTGCCCAGCTCGTCTCCAAATGTCACTCTTTTATTATACAGCAGATACTGTACGGTTGGGCTCGACCTGCAGTGTCTGCAGGACTAGCAGCCTTTCTTTAAGCAGATGGTTTTTTCAAGTGGTCCGGTATACTTTGGTTGCTGGAGAACTGAAGCAATCCAGATAAGGGAGCACTGCTGCAGCAGGGTGCTTCAGCATTTCTAGAAGTTCTTTAGAGAGTGACAGAAGGCAGATCAGTCTTTTCCATGGAGCTTTCTGTTTTACAAGCGTTCTGAAAGCATTATTTTATGCTGTGTTCGCTATCTGAGAATTTGTTCTGATGTGAACATCATATTTGTATGTTACCCAGGAGTTAAGTTAGTATTTGTTAATAATTCAGGAAATTAAACGAGCTCAGGATGATAACATGTAAAAAAAAAACCCTGTCATATCACGGTGGCTAAAGCTGAGGAGTGGTCATTCATTGTACGTGTTCTTAAATCCATTTTTCCAAGAGATCTGCATGGTTTTATCATGCACCCTTTCTTCTCGAGGCATCCAGCATCTGTTCCTGGGATCAGTTTCCAGATGTAATTAGATCACCTTGGGTTGCAAGGTTTGCAATATTTAGCAAGTTGCTTTCTTGCCAAATACTGCTAAGAGATGAAGATCCATTGAGTGTCTTAGGAAGAACAGCTATAAAGGTGCCCTCGCCCTTGTCGTTGGCCACTTAGAAAAAGCATAGGTTGGAGACAAAAGTGGATGTGGCTTTCGTCTTATCTGAGTTTGTACTACTTGTAACATTATGCAGGTTGGATGCAATAGCAAACCAAAACTATGAATAATATCGAATTGTACCTTGAAGCCAGTAATATGGTTTAAGAAGTGATTTTTCAAGTGTTGTCAAAAAATGGATGGGAAGAACTTCAAGTTTTCTGTTTTTCTATCTTGAGACATTAATAGGAGAATTTGCAGAGGAAGCTAGTTTGGGAGGGAGAAGCAGTAGCAGTGTCACCAGAATAAGAGCTGCAGGAATATAAGTACGTTTTTTAGAGCCACAAACAGCCTGGCATTCTGAAGGAAAGCCAACTACAGCAGTCTTCAGGCACATTAATGTAAAAAGAACTGGATGAGGGAAGTTGGTAAGCGGAAAGGGAGGCTTATTTCTTTCAATCATATGCAGATTATTTTAAACAAATTCTTTGTCATCTTTTTCAGTGAAAGTAATGATATCAAGCATGAGAATAAAGATGGGATGGGGAGGCAAAGCAGAAGTTCCATTGGCTTGATTAAAGAATTCAGATAGCTCCTTTCAGAATTTAAGAAGAATTCATCCGTGACACTGGAGCACTAAGAACAAGGCTTCTAAATGTGTTCTAGCTCTGACTAAACAGATTTGTTACTGAAATACATACAATTTATCCAAAAAGAACTGAAGGCAGGGAGATGCACAGCTACAGCCTAATGAGCTTCATCAGCAGCATGCAAGGCTCTAGAGAATTTGTGAAGGCAAGAATTTAATTAACAATATGAAAATAAGTAGA